ATCAGTTAAATATATTTTTCTATTCTGAACGGAATAAAAAATATTGTTTTAATTTTTATTCTATAAAACTTTTTAGAGACTTATCTCCAATGAAATTTCAGAACTGAATTTCATAATTAATTCAACAAATGGATTTAAAATGTACTTTAAACAAATTATTTTTCAATTATTCCTATATTTTTCTTATTATTTACGAAAAACTAAAAAAAAAAACTTAATATTTAATATTTATATTTTAGTAGCTCGTGTAGCCTGGAGACTACACAAGTTAAACAACATTATATAATTGAAATTTGATAGAATATAACTATTGAAACTAAAATAAATTGAAATGTTTTTTTCTTCTTTAAAAGAGATTCAGAGCGAAGTGAAAGATTTATCGATTTTATCAAGACGTATAAGCCATAGCAATATTAAACCTTTTCCAGGGTACCTACATTTATTTTAGTATTTTATAGATCCTTTATATTTTATTATATTTTCGAAATATTTTCAAAAAATTTAATGGCATTTATAATTTTTCAAATCAATGTCTAAATTTACTTTACATTTCAATATCATTTTTTTTCTATTTAAACAACCCTATTATGAAATGATGAAGGTATTTTTACTGTTATTGTCAGGTTAGTTTATTTTAATATAGAATCTGATACATCTGTTCTCTTTTACTCGGAATCGTTTTCCGATAGTTAAAAGTTGATTTTAAATTTATAAGAACAATTCCTCTTTATATCAGTCACTCATTTGTGTGTCTTATTCGACCCCTTTATTTAGCCTTTATAAATATATTATATATAGTACATACAAAACTATCGTTCTGCAAAATATTTAATTTATAAATAAAAATGAGAAAAAAAGACTCTTCCATCATTTTAATAAGACCTTTGTAAGCTATTATTTTATCACCACCCGTCATATGGGCCGACATTATTTTCGTTTATTTCACGTGAATTATTTAAAAAATTTCTTGCTTGTGATTTCATTATCACTTTATAAGAATTTTTACGAGTTACAGTATGTGATAATAATATACATCTGAATTAATGCCATATTCCCTTTAACCATTTAACTTTCTTATAATACTTACATAGCCATATTAGGGGGCAGGCTAAAAGGCTTATAGCCTAGGGCGACTTTTTGGAAGGGCGTTTTTTTTTTATAGAATTAAGGGTTATTGTTGACTTATTAGGTACATTTATTTTAATATATTTTTTTTATATTTGTCATTTAAACACGAATAAAAATAATTTTAAAAAGTTATAATATATTAATATGTTCAATGTATGATACGTACCTATAGGCTATAGTAAGAATATTAAAATTATTATTACAATTTGAAAATATTTCATTTATAATAAAATAATAACAGATAGTTACTAGTTATTATTAATAACTTATTAGTCCTATGTACTTATTGGGAACATCCGACTATTTGAGTATAGGTATTTTCATATCTGGCTATTTATATTTCCGTTATGTGACTGTATAAGCATTGTTTATTTGTATTGGTAATAATAGTATCTGAAGTAAAATAATAGACATGCAATATTTTATTTTTAGAAGTTTTCTATTTTAAAGATTTTATATTTTATATATTATTTTTTTTTAATAAAAAAAAATTAGAATACAATTTGAAGAGAAGGATTTAGACCAAATATTGTTAGTTCCTTAGTAGAGTGATAAAGAGGGGAGAGCAGAGTAATTAAGCCTAAGGGCGTCAAAACGCTACATTCGCTATTGAATACATACACTTAAAATCGGATTTTTATTGCACCTCTATTTAATAATATAACTTAAACGTTTTTCTACTTTAAACTTTTATATTTAATTTACATAATTTTATGAATGAATTTAATAATGGATCCATTATTTTGTAATCATATTTTAATAATACATTCTTCTTGAATTTATATAATTTTTTTTTGAATTTGTTATAAGTTTATTAATTTGTTTTTTGTAAATTATAGTAGGTCAGATTTTAAATTTTGAAAATATTATTGAAATAATGATTACGAAATAATGACTCCATACTATCCATTAATAAAATAAAAAAAAACAAAATAATCCGATTTTTCCATTAATTAACTTTAAAACTGTTCCATCATATAACATTGCTAAATGTCAATCTCGCCCATAAAAATAAAATGTACAATGAATATCAACACTTCTATAAAAAATATGATTTTGTTGAAAAAATTAAAAAAATAATATTATAATATAACCCGGGTCCTAAATGATTTCTATTGAGGTTAAAAATGTATACTCATCCATTCCTAAACACGAAACAATAAATATTTTATAAAATAAGCTTATACATAGTAATAAATTCAATACAAATGAAATATAATTAATATTATTAACTATTTTAGTATGAAATATTAAAATAATATATCAAGCAAATTCGCTAAAATTCTTAAGAGTAATACTAATAGCATAGACATCGCTTTTGAAACTAATAAAAATTTAATCAAACGTATAAATAAACCAACTTAAAACTTACAACTTCACAAAAATCCCCATTCTTTTGAAAATGCTGGCATATGTAAACTGAAATGTAATCAATTTTATATAGGTAAGACAAATAGAAATTTTAAAATACGAAAGAAAGAACACATTTCTTTACTTTACAAATATTATAATACTCTAGGCCAGCGTTTCCCAAACTGTGGTCCGCGAACCCATAGGAGTCCCCACGTATACCGGAGGGGGCCCACGAACATAAATTTAAAATATACAAAGTATTATTATTTATTATTGTTTTTTATTTGTACTAAGGGATCCGGCAGAAAAAAAGTTTGGGAAACGCTGCTCTAGGCTAAGCTTTTACTAATTTATTTCTATATATAAACTATTTTTTATTTTTTTATATCTATATAATAATCACAAATTATTAAATTTTACAAAATCTAAAATAATAAATAAATCTTACGCAGTGTGAAGTTAAGAATGGCTTATAATTTACTTACATTTATTTGTGACAAGGATGAGTAAAAAAATAGCTCTAATTTTCACTTTCAACGTTTTAGGACTCTATAATGAGGTGGAAAAGAGCATGGTAAAATTATATTGTCCTCAATGCATGGAGATTTATTTTCCTTCGAAAATTGCGGAATTAGACGGTGCATACTTCGGCACCGGTTTTCCGGAAATGGTGTTTATGACCCGACCAGAGTTAAGGCCTTTTGCACCAAAAAATGAACACGTTTCCAAAATTTATAGGTTAAAAATCCATAGTTCAGCGATTGAATTACAGAAAAATACAGCTAAGAAGAAGGAAAAATTTAAGTTCAATAATGAGAATATTTTTAAAATATTAAAAAAAAAAATCTAATTTTTTAAAATCTTATTTAAAATAATGATATACTTTTATATTACATCTAATACAAATATTTACCTATTACAGTTTTTCTTTAAACAAGATGTTTCAAATTATCAATAGTTATAATCAGGGCTCGGAACTTTATGCATTTGCATCTTTCTCAGGAAGCTGCATATTTCAAATCTCGATACAAATTCGTTTCATGAACCATACAGTTGAAATACATAAGTTGATGTTGCATATTTTTGCATATTTTACCAAATTTATATGATTATGCATATTTAAAGGTTTTGAATATATAAATGCATTTTATGGTAAAAATTTATAAGAAATCAACAACAAACAATTTTTTGATAATTGAATATTGTAAATTAAATAATTTAAAAATAAATAGCCGCCGCACACTGTTTCCTATTCTATATTTGCTATGCTATCAATCATGCTCGCCCGCATGGTTTATAGGTTTTTACTAAGAAATAAGAATTGGGTCGTTACTCTTACCGTAATGACCGCCCAGGTTTTATTTATATTAAAGTCGCTCATTAGATAAAATCGATAAAATCGTTGTATATTCGTGGTGTGTGTTAGTATGTGTTTGATCGTGTGTCGAAAACATATTCGATAACGGTAGTCTGTTACTTAAATAAATTAGTGTGTTCGTAGTTTGTATTGTTTGCTTACCGTGCTCGATTACCGCTTATGTGCCACGTAATATTCTGATTTTAATATTTGTTAAACAAAAATTAAAATGCCTAAAAAAAAAAAAAAATTTAAGTAGTCGTTTAAATACTTTCGTGTCTGAGTTCGGTAAAAATGTTTTTAGTATTGACACTAGGGTATTATTTTGCAAATATTGTGAAACGAAAGTCGATTCGGATAGAAGATCCAGCGTAATACAGCACTTGAAAACAGAAAAACATTTGTGTTCTGTTAAACGTAAAGAAAATCAACAAGAGACCAAGTGCCAACAACTATTAACCAATGATTTACCGTCTAAAAAATCGAAGTTCAACCTGGATTTATGCAAAGCTATGGTCTCGGCTAATATACCACTAAATAAACTATCAAATATAGTTTCGGACATTTTTGGAAGTTTATTCTGGAAAAGATGTCCCCACAGAATCAGTACTTCGAAAATTCTATTTAGACGACTGCTACAACGAAATGATGGAAAAAATTAGGCAACGTGTTTTCGACCGAAAAATTTGGGTGTCACTTGATGAAACAACAGACACAGAAGGTCGGTATATAGCTAATGTAATAATAGGGACTTTAGAAGAGGATACTGCTGGTTCAATTTTTTTACTGAATACTGAAGCACTAGAAAAGACCAATCACTCTACAGTTTCTAAACTTTTTGACAAATCTTTAAGAATTTTATGGCCTAATGGGATAAGACACGACAACGTTTTATTATTTTTGTCCGACGCTGCGCCGTATATGATAAAGTGTGGAAAATCTCTGAATGCACTCTACTCTAAAATGGTACATGTGACTTGTGCTGCTCATGGCCTCCATAGAGTTTCGAAGGAAGTACGAAATCAATTTGGTACTGTTGATAAAATTGTAGCTAATGTAAAAAAAATGTTTAAAAAAGCACCATCACGCATACAAATTTTAAAAAATTACGCTCCGGATATCCCTTTACCTCCAAAACCAATTATAACCTGATGGGGTACCTGGATCAATGCTGGACTTTATTATTGTAAATATTACGAAAAAATTCGTGATGTTGTAAATATGTTGGACTCCAATGATGCTTTAAGTATTAAAGTTTCAAAAAAAAATTTGGTAAAAGAACACGTTCAAAATAATTTGGTGTATATTACTTCAAATTTTAAAGTTCTTTTTGAATCAATTTTGAAACTGCAGACAAAAAACATGCCTTTAGCTGAATCGTTGAGTATCGTGGACAATGTTCAAACACAATTAAAATCCGTTCAAGGTGAACCAGGGAAAAAAGTCTATGAAAAAATGGAAAATTTTTTGTCTAAAAATATCGGATTAAAAACATTAAAACAAATCTCGTCAATACTTAGTGGATCTATCTCCACCATGGATGGTCTTCCCGAAGATCTGTCAACAAATGACCTTATTTTCTACAAGTACGCACCAATGACGTCAGTGGATGTCGAAAGATCATTTTCTGTTTACAAAAACCTTCTGAGCCAAAACAGACGATCATTTAAACTTGAAAACATAAAAAAGTATCATATCATTCAGTGTAATTTAGGTAAATATAACAATGAATACCTAACATGATTTAATAATCGCTGTATTTGATAGATTCTATTTTTTTTTAATTTAGGACTCTGGGAATAGATCCAGTGTAGAACAGCTTCATTATCAAAAGAAAAATACAAATAAAAAAAAAAAAATTTTTGTTTCTATAATTATTAATTATGCTTTTAAACACATATTTTATAAAATAATAATTGCATATTATACAGCATATTTTGGTGTTTTTTAGTGCATACGTATGCACATATTTCATGGTTTTTTAGCGCATTAAGTTCCGAGCCCTGGTTATAATACTAGTCAATTGATAGTTATGATCATAGACGGCTTGATCATGAATTTTGTGGTTCACTGAACTACCAAAAAGTTTGGGGTGGGTCTCATTTTAATAGGTGGGTACTTGGTTCTGGCAACTGACAGCTGTAGGTGATGTAAAATTAATAATTTAATAGAAATTAGGTAAATGTTTGTACCTAATATGACTTTTTGATAGGTGGATGGCTGCAGTGGCGTGGCGAACTCAAACATTTTCAGAGGCAAGTATATTTTGTCGATAACCACCCACCCACCATAAAACTGAGAGGCGGCTGCTTCTCGATTACCCACATCGCCACGCCACTGGATGGGTGGTATTAACTATGCTTGAACCACCAACTAAAAAATGTCAAACAGCCTATGGTTATGATTAAGCTTAGAGACTTATAGCTCTAAAAAATACACAAACATGCATGCAAATATGCTTTTAAAATCATTAAAATATGCATTATAATATGCATTTTATGCATTAAAAAAAAAAATGACCAATTAGTATACAAAATAAAACGTGTCCATCGGATGTAAATGTATCTTTAAACTCTTAAACAATACTTTGTAGTCGGCTATTCGTTGTACAATGTTACAAAATATATGCGTACGACGTTTAACATATGATTCGACGTTATGTGGTTGCGTGACGCAAAAACAACAACGGATAATAATTGATTGAACTGAACATTAAACAAATAATCTTTTATTCTATATCGGCTATTATCTTTATCGACATCCGGTCGATATTCAGCAGGTTATCATTGACGCAACTAGGTCTAAAATATTGGGGAAGCTGAAGCCCTATAAATAAATTTAGTCAATATGAGCCATGGGGTGCTTCGCCCTCCATACCCCCCATTACCGCAGACACAAAACAATAATTATTAATTGAAATAAAAACAATCATAAAATATTATTACCATACTATATGATTAAAAATAATTTACCTACTTCTATGCAGTATGTTTTACATAAAATATGACATAACACCACCGCAATATTCCACGGTCGTCCGCAGTGTTTCTTTCAGACACCTCTCCGGGCGAGCATAGCCCCCCCGGACAATGACCAAAGCCCTCCCGGATAAAATTTGAAGAATAGTAAATAAACATCAAATGTTAGAAAAATAAAAATTGTATATCACAGTGAATATAATAATCTATATCGTTAGATAAGAGTCAACACCATGTCACCGTATTCTATTTATAAAATTATTTTTCCCGGTGTAAATCAGTAATTACTTAGATAATACTAGCTGTTGGGCAACGATAACTACAAATTATTGAACTCCAAAAATAATATCAGATAAATATTTCAATAGTTTGTCAACTATGATGTGACTTGTGTTTGTGTGTCTAAAATTTAGCATCGACAAGTGCTTTCTTCAATAACTAACCTTAAGGTATGTAGGTAATATATTTACTAAATTGGACATAACGATGTAAGTTGTATAAGGTCAGTGATATTAGGTAAATGCATAGGAACACATTGGTATTTTAAAAATGTATATAACTATTATAATTAGGGGCCGAAATATATTCTTTTAAAATAGCCAAAATAAGATGCTAATATTCTGTAAAAAAGTTGAAAATATTCTTCCAATATTTTCTTTAAAAATCATAATAAAATATGCAAAAAATATGCTTTTTTATTAAGTTGTTTATTATTACATACTTATTTTATTACTATATTTTATATTTAAGTTTAAAAACAATGAGTGAAAAACTAAATCGTGTTGTACCTGATTTATCACAACAATTGTATATAATTAAGCGTTTACGAAGGGGAGAAAGTAGAAAGTTTAATAAATTAAAAAATAATAATAATGTATCAATAAGTAATAATACCTAATTATATCAATATGAATGTCATAATTATTAATAAAAAAATAAATAATATGTATGTTTAAAAAAATGTTTGTTGCTCGCTTAACCGCCTTTTCGATTATCCGTCCCGAGACAGACGGGAAATCGAGGTTCTACTGTAACATGTAATAATTTAATATTGAATATTATTTATTTAATTTTTCTATTAACTGATATAATAAGCATATTATATGCTATTTTATTTTTGTTGTTCAGTGGTTTATTCAAGAAATATGAAGAGAACAATAGATTCTTATTTTAAAGCTACGGATGTAGTTTCTAGCCAAAATGCAAAAGAAAAAGCAATTTGTTCACCGTCAGCCCAGTTAACTGAATTAAAACAAACGGAACTAACTAGTATAAAATCATCTAACTTACATTCTGTGAAATCAACCGGAAAAAAAAGAACATAATTATAATACAAAGTAGGGAAAAAAATATAAATGGCTGGTATATAACGATGAAAAACAAGGTGCATTTTCTAAACTATGTCAACATTTTATGAAAAATTATGCAAAAATACTTCAAAAGACAGGTGGAGTGTTTATTACTGTTCCATTCACATCTTACAAGAATGCATTAGGAAAAAATGGAAAGTTAGAGAAACATGAACACTCTTCAGCTCACACTATAAGCATTGAAATGGAAAATATCAAAAATAAGGTAATGAAAAAACCGATTCATACTCAAATCTTGCAACAAAGTGAAAGTGAAATAGAATTAAACAGAAACAGAATTAAAAATAATTTTGCGAGGCTTATACTTTTTGGTAAAAGAAGAAATAGCTCACACTACTGAGTATGAGAGTTTAATTGAAAGTATTTTTGACAAGTTAAATAAAGATTTTAAAACATGAAGAGAATCTCAAAATGATAGATCAAATTATAGCAGCAAAGACACAGCCTGTGAATTACTAATATGTATGGGTGAAATATTGAAGAATGAACCGAAGAAAACAAAAGAAAAACAAAAAAATTTTCCATTTTAGCAGATGAAAGTACTTCCTTGAATAATGAAATAGAACTGAGTATAATGTTTAGATTTTTAGAAGACAAAAATCCAGTGAAAAAGTTTTTGGCAATAGTTAAAATCCCAAATGGAAGAGCAGAAACTATTGCAGATGTTATTGATAAAGAACTGACTAACTTAGATTTGTGTTACAATAATGCTATAGCTTTAGGATTTAATGGTGCGGCCAATATGACTGGGAATGTAGGAGATGTGATAAGGAAACTTTCAGAAGGAGCAAGGAGAAATATTCTTTATATTCACTGTAAAGCACACATTTTGTCATTGGCAGCAGCTTCAAGTAGAAATAAAAACCAAAAGGTCAAAAGATTTTTTTATGTTTTATAAGACATTTACAAGTTATTTAGCAAATCACCTATAAGAGAAAATGTTTTGCATGAAATTCGAGCATTAATAAATGATCCAATTCTTAAAATACCTGTTAAAATTATAACCTTTTATGTAATGAATGAACTCCTTAGTGCCCTATCTTACCTAAGCAATACTTTGCAAAAAATAAATATTAATCTGGCTCTTGTTATACCTCGTATAACAACAACAAAATTACATTTAAATGACATTGCAAATCAGTGTGAAGACACCTAGAAGAAACCAATAGTAACTTGCATATGAAAATTAAAAATGAATTACTTGACAAGTTTGGATCTGAAATGTATTTGACTGCTGAAGAAGATTCAAAAACAACATTGAAAAATATGAAGAAGTATTGTGAAAGTTTAATCAAAGAAATAGAAAACAGAATCATTGACAATCTATTGATATAATGACATTTATTAGTCACTTTGATAGCTTCCAGTCTTTCATTAATATACAAGACACTGAATTGAACAAAATTTGTAGTTACTTTCCAATACTAAATGCAGAAGCTGTAATGGCGGACATGAAATCATTTAATTTTTTTATCAAATCTATGCTCGATAGTGGTATATACAAGGCACATGAAAGTCCATTGGTTAAAATCACGGAAGCTGATATGGGATATACTGAGTTACAATTGCTTTGTGAAATACTTCTTGTGATTCAGTTACATCAGCAAGATCTTTCAGTACAATGAATAGAGTTCTTACAAAAACAAGAAAAAGAATGCTACCAGGAACTTTAATGCATTGTATGCTTATTAGTATTGAAGGGCCAGACGTTCCAACAGAAGATTTCTTGAACAAAACAGTAGATTTGTAAACATCTAAAAAAAATCGTCGAATTCGGTTCATCTAGGAAATAAATAAAGTTTATTTTTAGATAAGGTAAAAATATATTTTTTTTGTACTTTTATTTTGGTATAAAAAAATAACGTTGATATATAATAATACATAAATTTGTGAAATTTTGTGTATTTAATTATATTGTTCACAATCATAATAAAAAACAAAGGTAATTATTATCAATGTATTTTTCTTGATGTTATAAAAATGACTTCCTGATTTTGTCAAATGCCCTCCCGGGGAAAATTGAAAAAAACACTGCTTGTATATTTTATTAGTTGCTATAAATAATATAATTGTTTATGGCAACTGCAAAGTAAAGAATACACTAATCGAAACTATCCATTTTTTTACCCATGTTTTTCGGTTTTTCTTTTTTTTTTTTGAAGTTTCGTGCGCAACGATTGGCATCCCACATGACATTCTGTATACTTTTCATATATTATGTATATACTTTTTGGAATTTATATATTTCCTATGAATATCCGACAATATGCTGAAGACTTTAGAAGAATATAATTAGTATATCACTATGTCTCGCTTCAGATAATCTATGAGCATATTCTTTAGATATCTAAAGAAATGTTCGCAAGATATTCATGAAATGTATTAAATTCATTTACTAAATATTCAATAGAAAATAGAAAACTACTCATGGAATATCTATAGGTGTCAAGAAACATTGTTTTAGATATCTGAGGAATACATGATAAAATCATCAAAGAATATACTATATGTCTACACAAAGATAATATATTTATTAATAGAAAATTGCTCTTATAATATTTATACTATGCCATATATATAAATATGAATATAAAATAATTATACAAAAAAAAATTAATACCTTTTTACTAGTACTTGTCATATGAAAGAAAAAAAAATAGCACATAAATTATTATCCTAGTAAGTATAAACATATGTATATACTTACCCACATATTAATATAATTATAAAAAAAAAAAAAAATAGTATATTTATAATAACTTTTACACTTTAAAGTAAGAAATAACAATAGATATACATATAATAAAAAAGGAAAAATATAAAAGCTTGTTATTACTTTTATAAACACAAGTTTAGATATGTAAAAATAACAATAAGTTTACATATTATAATAATTATTTATAAAACATGTAATTGCTTTTACATTGAAGAAGGTATACTACATTACATACAAATTTTGAATTATATTTTATTCGTGATGATCTGTTTGTGAAGGTTTTTTTGACGTTCTTTAGCTTTTGCTAACTATGTTCCAGCAATAATTTCAATGTTTTTATCAGATTGATCTTTGTATTTCAATTTAACAGCACCTTAAATAAAAAAAATTCAATTTTAAAATAAAATGCAAACTATCAAATACCCAATAAGGTCATTGTATATATTTCAACTCTCAAATACAATTTCATGACAATATGAAATAAGGTCTCTATAGTCAAAACATAAAGACGAGTACTTTTACTCAAAAGTGATAAAAAAAAAGTTATGAAACTTCTATTTATGCTAATCTCAGAATCTAAAATCGCCTCAAAAACTTAACAAATTCAGTAAATTCAACTAAAATTTACAATCAAAAATTTGCTGTAGTAGTAATTGAATTTATAACTTGGAAAGCATTAATTTAAAATTCTAAGAAAAATGTGTTATGAACTTATAAATTTGAACTTAATAGATCAATTATTACAACAGTGTTAATAAATTACTTTTTATCAAATCAGCTAGTCCTGTAATTGCGAAACTTTTTTTTTTTTTTGTCTGCCAAACCAACTAAATTGCTCCGCTACTTCATCAGTTAAAATGTTCTTAAGTGTACGCCTTAAAAGTTCACCCAGAGACGATCCACCAATAAGTGATATGTTTTTAACCTATAACAATAAACTTTATTATGCTTATATGAAATTTGTACATTTCAACACGATTAAACACTTTATTTAGAATTACAGTACTTAATATAATATATAATTAATGCATACAAAATTTAATTGTACTTCAATAAAACCTAAATAAGCCTTATACAGTTTAATTTATACTTAAAGGTATTTAAATTAATTAAGTTAGGTTAACCACACTATACACATATTTAGTTACTCAATTTTTAAATATATAATGAATAAACTAAATTTGAATGTTTAACTTACCAACGTATTATATGCATCAATTTTAGTTGATTTAAGAATTTTTACTTCATCATCAAGTTTATTTAAAATATCTAAAGAAGTTGCTGGAAATCTATTGTATATTGCAATACCTTCTTCTTTATATCTATTAGTGTTGTCATGAGAATTAATTGGTACTGTGTTTATGTTATTGACCATACTTTGAATATTTTTTAAATATTGTAATTTTTCTTTCTGGTGCAGACCCATGGTTATAAGTAATCTGGATGTATCAGTCTGCCATTTTCCAAGCACTAAAAAAAAAAAAAAAAACAAATAATTTATATTATATTTTAATGTTTATTCTTGACTCTTGTAGTTGTATCATAATATGACATATTATGTGTAAAATTATTTTGTCAATTCAACTTAAAAAGCAAATTTCACAACCACTATAGCAGAAAAGTTAGTTTTATTTCTAAGAAAATTGTTATATACTACAAATGTTGAATTCCTACATAACATAAATGTACTAAAAATATATAAAAAAAAATTATACTTACTTCAAAGTAACGATTGTTGCATGTAATTTTGCTGATTCAATATAGAATTATTTAATGTTTCAAATTCTGTAAAACATTTGTACATTAATTATAACTAATAAAATATGTATGTATGCATAATAGCCAGTATAGAATTATTTTAACTTTGGAATAAAAAGTGAAATTTATTGTAGATCATAATTTCATCATAAATCTATTATTTAGTGTTCAATAATTTTAAAATCGAGCAGTTTTTTTTCTAATAATAATTTTTGACTTTATGGACTCTAATATGAGTATTAGACATTAGTAGGGAACGGATTTATATGTAATAAAAATACATAAATATGTACATATGTATGTAAGTATAATTTATAAAATATGTACTAAAACCATCCAAATATGTAGGAAAAAAATTTAATTAAAAAAAAAAAATTATAATTATCAAATTATCAAAATGATTTGTTGCATTGAATTATTACAATATATTTTAAATTATCAAATATTAAATGTCGTCTATTAGATCTGAAAATATTTTTAAAACGGTTAAATGATCGTTCCACATCAACCTACGTCGGTTGATTAAAGCATATTTGAAAGGCATAATATTAGAAGGCGATAATTCCAAATTTTTAGAAGGGTGTCTGCCACTCATTATGTCATTGATTGATTTAAAATAAATATGGCCTGAAATTTTTTTCGGTAAAAATAGGAATTTTCTTTTTTACTACTTCTCCTATTGGTCCGTTTACGAGTTTTCATTTTGCAATCCTTGATTCGACAATTTGCATACTTTCATTCAAGGACATATTTTTGTTTCTAATTTTGTAAATGTATGTGCAATAAAACTAAAATTCACTGAGATGAAAATTAAATTAGTTTTCAATGTTTCATTTTGCATAATATTTTGAGCTTTTCTAATAGCGATAGAAGTTCTGGATATAAATTTGAAATAATTTCTTGTATTTTTGTACGAAGAAGACTGTCGCGTCCCGCGTAGTCACACGGTAAAACACATCACAAGGAGGTTCCCATGTACATCAAAAACCACAACTATGGATAAGTTAGATTATTGTGTTCACGTGGTTTACACTAGAGATTACAATAAGGAATTAGAATATCGAAATCACAAGCGTGGACAAGTGAAAGGGTTCACATAAACGTTTTTATGGGAAATTGAAATAAAATAGTTTATCGGAATGATGTGGTGACCACATCCTGGGCATTTGCGTCAATAATTATGTCACGGCCTGGAGATAACGCACACACACTCATAATTAACAGGAAATTATCTTATTTAAAATATTTTATTATCTTATTCATTTACACACACACATTTGGGATTTTACACACACACATACCGTATCACATATAAAAGGGACCCGAAAACAAGGGCAAATCAGACGAGTCTTGTCTATGCTGCACTGAGCACCTTCACGTCAGTGTATGTTATGGTCTGGACTTAGAAATATTTCCAATTATTTTATAAGCTACAATTGTTAGGACTTAAATAATTTCTATCACTAGAATATTTACAGAATTTTGTAGTTAGGATAATTTTTATAAGTTAAATAAATTTAATTATTTTAAAAAGAAGTCTTAATTATTCCTGACTACACTTCCACTCAAGCGTTGACTGAGACGTTGTAACTGAATTAACGGATCAAACGGTTGGCACGTAACAAGACGTATGAATGATGAAATAATAAAATATGTTTAAAAATATTTACAAATTAGTGAAATATGTAAAAATATGTAATTATACCAAAATATGTAAAAATATGTAAAATAAAAGTAGCATCATATTAATAGGAATGATTTAAATCATGAACATTTCTTATCAAATTTTAAATATCTCGTTTTAATAAAAATATGTATTTACATATAAATCCGTTCCCTAGACATTAGTATATCTTACTTTTCAAAATAAACCCTTTCTTATTTAAAGAGTAAAAGGTATCAAATTTAGATTTTAAAATGGTAAAAGTCAATTCTAGAAACATTAAGTAATAAGAAACAAAAATATTTATAATTTAAATATTTTTAAAAAAATCCATTAAAAAATCAAAAAAATACGATTTAGGAGGTACTTTTAATTGGAAACACTAAAGCCACATGAGTGTTAACAGCATAATTGAATCATTTATAAACTGCAATACCAAATATGCTGTTTCCAATAATAATAATGTATAATTAATAATTTTTTAATTAAGAAATATTACTTTTTAACATATTAGTATAATTCAATAAATTATTTTTAAATAAAATAAAACTAAAATGTTTTGATGATAAATTTACTGAATTAAATAATAAAATTATGTATACATATATTATATAATGTTTAAATTATTATGTTTTAATAATAATTTTATTACTTGAATCAATGTACTTTTGAAGTTCTTCCATTGTATCAATTGTTCCTTGATTACCAACATTTAAATTATCATCTGACATACTAACATCAAAAATTTTACTTGATATATTTACATCTGCTACATTTTGTCCGCTTAATACAGATAAATTATCTAAATCTTAATTGACATATTATTATTACAGAATAATTGACAAAGACTGTACATTTTGTGTCTGAATTAAACCAAGAGAATGAATTCTGGCCTATTACTGACATTTTAACTAAACTAGTTAGATTACCATTTAATAAAAATGGAAATTAAGTATTTTCTTTGCTACACATTTAAGTTATAATTATAATCTGTCATACCTATTGTAAATATTTTCTATTATATTCTTGTTTCATAGATTGTATATAATTTGTTATGGATACTCACTCCTGGTTGGTATGTTGTTAAATTTTTGGAAGAAAACAGTGTAGAAGCAGTTCCATGTAATTGGTTCAAAGATTATAATAATTGTTTTTGGCCTCAGTACAGCAAAGCAAGAACAGCTGAAGCTATTAAACAAAGAGAAACTCCATCAAAATTGTGGAAATTATATAAATTAAAAATTCTATCAAAAAAAAAAAATTGGTGATTATTTTGTAGCTATGAATAAACCTAATTATGCTCAATATGAATCTGACCTTTTATCAGGAACTGAAAACATTTCAAAAAATACTTCATTGTCCTTAAACGAATCAGAAAACCAAATGTTGAGTTTGATAATGAAGTTAGTTCCAATGATAGCTCAGAAGAATGTGAAAATAAAAAAATTAAATTACCATCATTTCCAACATTTTCTCAATTTGGTATTTCAAATTATATTATTTTTAAAACCAAGTAATAATAATTTACTAATAATTATATTTACTATTTTAGGTAATTCCTCAAATAATAATGACTGCAGAATATATATTCAAATATTCACCTTCAGCTTTGCACTTAGATCATGAATAATAACCAGAATGACCTTTTATCTGTAACACACTAGCTTTAGCCACTGCATCAAATAATAGCATTTGAACAGTGGCGGTTTTGGGGGTGAGGCGCCGCCTAACCTACAATTTTAAGTAAAAAATACTATTAAAGTATATATTTTGGCCCACCGATAGCATATAAATATTTCGATATTAATTTTTAACGTTTTTATGATTTTATTTGAGAAAAAATCTTCTTTGCCAAGTTTAACAATATGAATTATCATTTATTATATTGTAAAATAATGGTAAATCATATCATTAGTGTTTATTACCAAAAATAATGATAAACCGATAAGAAATGAATGAAAATATAAGTATTACGTAAACAAACGCTGGTGTTTCAACCGGGCTATACACTATTGTTCCACAAAATATTTGTTCCGATTCACTTTTGTTCCACACTATACTTCTTCCAAATGTGGAACAAACATAGTGTGGAACAAAAGACCACCGGAACAAATATTTTATGGAACTATAGTGTTTTGGAACAACATTTTTCTATTTCATCGGAACAAATGATTAAGAAAATGTTATCATATCCACATAATATGCACTTACACGAACATTCTGTGAATAATTTGGATTACATAGTGAGTATTCAATCTTTCACCAAGTTCTTAGAATCGTTAATAATATCTTTTTTCCGGAAAAGAAAAATTCACTTCTGTTCAGTTGCAGTGCTTGACCACTCATCGAAGTTCATTCGTTCAATCACGTATGAGGCAAAGAATTTCTAATTTCATTAATATCTATGTATTTTCTACACATTAACTTAATCTAAAGTCTAAACTCATTTTTCTTACAATGCACTACAATACCTATAAGTTATTTAAATTATATAAATATTTATATAGTAAAATATGAATGGTTCTTAGCAGCATACTTTTGAACTATTAACTACTGCTGACTTCCTATTTAATCAAGCATTCCATATTATTGTTTTGAATACATTCCCTATTTATTAACTTCATGCTAAACTTACTTAATAATGTAGCAATGTTAATAATATTTTATGTATCCATCATAAATACGATAATTTAATTATTCTATCTAAGAAATATGCAAAACAAGTTAACTTGGATGAATTTGTATACAATTCGGATGTTTTTTTAATTATGATATTTCTTTGATTTTTTTGTGTAAGAGAAATTTTTTTTTTACTCAAATAAATCATTTATGATCCAAAACGTCGGTACTTATTCAATCAATTAAAAATATATGGTAACAAATTTTGTTTTAAAGAATTTTATTAAAATAGATATAGGTATATATAATATGTACAAGATAAAAATAATTAATATATTAAATTCAAAATTTAAAATACACTAAAAATATCTTTATTTTTTTCTTTAGTTTCAGCCTTTTAAGTTACATATAAAAAAAAATACAATTGAAAATTACAAAAAATTAATTTTTCTTAAATAGTGTACCCTTCGTATCTTGATATTGAATTTCTACAAAGAGGACATATATTATAATTTTCTTCCATCATTCTAGTGACACACTGAATACAATATTGATGGCCATAGGGATTCAATCTTACAACCACTACTTCTTCACAACATATTATACACAGTTCCAAGACATCTACAAAAAAACAAAAAAAATAGGAATTAGGTATATCATTCACATTTAATATTTTATGCGTATAGTATAATTATTGTAAAAATAATTTTATATTTATCTACCCATATTCTCCAAAATAAGTGGTTGGTCATTGGCCGGTAGAGGAATTATTGATTCTATAAACAATAAAAAGATTTATATTTAAACTTAAAATCAATTCTTGTTGTGATTTGTATTTAAATTCAAATTAGCTTTACCATTATCATTATCAATCTCTCTATTCAATAGTGCTATTTCATGATTTGGTAGTGGCTGTTCATCACCTTTACCATTGCCAACAATTGTTTCCCGCCGTGGTCCTCTTGCTCTGCGACCATGATTTTCTATATTATATTTTATTGGATTAACTATATATTAAATTAACTAGTGTTTTAAAACATTTTTTTTTTTTTACCTATATGATAAGGTCGACCAATTTGGAAATGCCTTCCTCTACCTCGACCGCGTCTCCTGAGAGGAACATCGACTACTAACTCTCCTATATGTAACCCTGGAGATGGAGGACGAATTTGAAGCTGATGTGGTGGTGACAATGGTCGAATCGGGAGCTGATTCTGAAGAATAGGTGGTTGACGGATTGGACCCAATATGAAGGGGGGTAAAATTGGCTGTGGTTGTAATGGTGCTGGTGGTACTAGTGGCTGCATATTTATAGCTGGAACTATAGCTTCTAAGTATAAAAATTAAAATATAAAGTTAAACTAAAACTATTGATCACTTTAAATAACATGCAAGATGTATTACGATGTGGAAAATTTGGCTCCCCAATTTCGTTCCTGAGTATTTGTTCCGGGGTGTATGAAACATTTCTTATGAAATCTTCCAAATTGTAGTTACCATTTTCCACATTCACCCAAGCGTTTCTGATCGTTGTACTATTGCTTAGGTTTGATCTATAATTTGTTTGTCTTACCTATTAAATTATAACAATTATAAATTACACATATACAGAGATTACAAATCTAAACATTTAATAAACAACAATTATATTATAACAGTTCACAAATTATTTAAAAATTATTATTGCCCATACCCTCTGTCCATTGACTGCTCTGCTAAAATCATTTCGAGCCCTTTCCTTGACTGTTCTTAAGTGATCTAAAAATTTGTACAGTTACAGACTTTTTCTTTACAGTTGCTAATTTTTTTTATTTTTTTTTAAATAATTACCATAGAACCGATAAAGGTTTGGGTGTTGGCCCATTAATCGGAGGAGGGACGCATGATAAGACTATAAAATTATTGGTTCTGTGTGCGAGTCCAAATACTGTAAACCTCTGCGGAGTCACTGTATCCATCCAGAATCGCTCATAGTATCGCATTAGAGGTTCCAGTTCTATCACTAAATTATAGCTGGTAACTGTAGTTAAAAATATTAAAATCATATTCATAAAACTAACACCTAAACAAATGACTTAACATTATTTAATTAATGATTATTAACTCACCTAGATCTTGAATTAGTCTAAAGCCTAAGTGGATAGAGAAAGAATTGCCATGATGTTGTATGACAACTGCTGGTAGATGAACTAAAGCCATTAACTAATATAAAAAATGTTAACAGAAATTAATGTTAAGAAAAATCAATCAAATATTACAACTATACAAAAATATTGATATATTAGTTTGATTAGTAAATTTTTACTTGCATACCTAACTAAAATTAATTCATTAAAAGGGAAAGTGAAATTTCTAACCAAAGAAAATTTTTTTTAATATTTACATGCAAGTACAACACTTTATTTTACTACAGATGCAATTATTTAGCACATATGCTATTTTGTTTTTTTTATTAAATTAAAACGAATTCTGGTACATAGTACATTCTTGCTCAATATATTTTCCTTTGTTTAGTGGTTATACTGTAAAAGTTTTTAATTTTATAATAAAATTCTCATTTACTCTCTTATACATTGTAAAAAAAATATTACCATTCGCAGAATTCGTCTTGCATTTTCATTTTCTCTGCATAACGGCATTAGGTGATGACTTCGAACATAACGTATAATGCTCTGAAAAAGACAACATTTATTAAAAAACTGTCTATTACCTTCAAATGTCATTAAATAATTTATTTATGTATAGTAAGAGTTAATTTGATTTCTCTTTATTTTTATGTACCTACCTGAATATAGTGAAACCAACAGCCAGAATTGTTGGCTTCTGGGAGTACTCTACCTATGGCATTTCTTAGGCCCTGTTCAAAATCAGTCATGACCTGCAGGTTTTCATAATTTATGTTCAACTGCAAATCATACCTTAGAAATTGGAGTACCCGGATGTAGGACTCAGTTTGGCGATCAACTAGTAGGGCATGTATAATTGGAATTGCCTGAAAAGAGATAAATCATATTTTAAATGTATGTATAATATTTACATGTGTACTATGTATGTCTTTATTTTATACTAACCACATTATTAAAAATAATTTGTACTGTAAACAACTGTTCTATGTCAGCTGGCTGCCGTGGTCTTATTTGAAAAGTTCCGTCCATACACATTGTTCGTACTCCTTCGAGGTGTGCATTCAATTCCTGCATAAAAGTATTGTTGGTAAACACGAGTTCTACAAAGCGTATACTTCCATCATCTCTCAATAACTCCAAGGGGCCTTGGTAGAAAGGAATCATTGATCCATTAACATATCGCAATCTTGGGCCCCATTCATTAAAATTCAAAATATTTATCCAGTCTGCTAAAGAATCTGGAATAGGAGGATTGTTCCGATGCCTAGCTCCTGCAATAGCCCTAAGAGCAGCTGGACGACCTATATACATCGCTGCTTCAGGGAATCTATATAATTATTTATTTGTACTTAATACATTTATATACAATCATGTTATAAGGTCAAATGATTAATTTGTTAAAAGACTTACAAATGCGCTTCCTGGTCAACAATATTGTGTGGAATAATATTCTCTCTAATAGCTCTCTCTCTTAAACTGTTAACATAGCCTCGCAACTCCACTGCATATTGAAGTGCTGGTTCGTGACTATGAACATGACGTTCAGAAATTATAATTTGTGCTCCTTCAATTGTTGACATTTTTGCAGATACTGGACATCCATAACGACGATTTTCACATCTCAAATATCTATATTTTAATCACATTTATAATTCTGCATCATTAGATTTATGTTGAAATATAATTGTAAAATTAATGTTAATTCAAAATAATTGGAAATGGAATATTCTTATATTTTCTCATATTTATTTGAATAAAAAGTATCGGATTTTTTATAACTAATGTTTTGTATATATTATTAATACATTTTTTTGAATTTGATGAAATTTTTTAATTAAAAAATGTAATATTAAAAAGAAAATATGTTTATGAAGTTCCTATACTATGTACCTAACTTCCAAGGGCGCCGCCATGAATTTTGACAGGGGGGTGCAATTGCACCCCCTTGCAACCCCCTTGCGGCGCCTTTGCTAACTTCAATAATGTTCACAAATAAACTATAATACAATTTAATCATCTTTTTTTTTACAAGTCTTTTAGATTAAAGTTGAAATAATTATATGTCTAATGTTTTCCATTACTAACCGAATACTTCCCCTAATAGAATGTTGATAGTAAACATATCCACTTTCATCAATGTACACTGTTGATCTCCCTCGAAGTCCTGGAATTGCTCTAGATAAAGGTTCCAAGGGTATCGGTAACTCCAATACTGGATCAACTGGATCCATAATAAAAAAACAAATAAGCTCAACAAGCGAAAGAAATTCAAAATATGTAAAAATTATAAAAAAAATTATAAAACTAAACTAAAATTATTATATTTTAATAATTATTATATAATTAATAATAATAATTTTTTTTTAGCTTTTTATAACTATTATAGCTCTAGAAACTATTAATAATAAATTGTATCAAATTCATTAATACACCAATTTAAAATAAATATTAAATAAAATTAATAATAATGATAAAACTATAACTATTTTGCAGTATCTAACAATAATAAATTATATTAAATGAAAATCGCAACATTCGCAAATGACTGTTAATAGCAATATCGCAGGAGTGACAGTCTTCGAACAAGTCTAGGAACTGCCTGTAGTAGCTGAAGCTTGGCAAGTTGCAAGAAAACAATTTTTCCCCTCTAATTATATGTAGGAGTAGCAAACGAACCTTTGATCTGAACCTGTCGCGTAAATCACACATGTCGTGTAAATTAAGAACTTGTTCCGTATGGAAAATAATAATAGAATTCCAACAAAATTGTTTACAAATTACAAGCAATACAATAGTTTTATTTATAATATATGTTTATATAATATATATATAAGTTATGTATATACATATATTTGATAGATAACTCTTCGGATTTCAAAGTTATTAAAAATACTGTTTCCAAGTATTCCTATAGCGTGGCTTATCTGTATATTATAAATTAACGGTATTATTCAAGGACTAAGGCTAGATGCACACTTGCGTATTTTTAACGTGCGGTGCCGCACGTGCGTTTAGAAATACTAATAATAGCATGAAACGGTGCACACGACGTTGCGGCGACGTACGTCCCCATGCGTGCAGTTTTTACCGTACGTTCCCGTCACGCCGCAAGTTCACCGGACACGCGTTATCAACCGCAACTCCGGCAAACAGTACTTTGTCATCAATCGTGTGATACCCACGTGCGTTTTTTCACGCGCCATAAAATTGAAAACGCGTCATAAAATTGTGAAAAATTGTGAAAAAAAATCACAGAAATGGCAACAAAAACCATTCAATTTAATATTGATGAGGTAGATATGGAGCTGTTCATCAGTGAAGTTAAACTTCATCCCGAAGTATGGAACATAGCTGACAATAATTACCACGATCGAACTAAAAAAAGAGTAGCGTGGATTGAAATTTGTAGAGTATTTTGTGAAGGATTCGACGAAAAGGATGAACGGGATAAAAATGATATATGTAAGTACTTTTATGTAATTCGTTCTTTATTTTATAATATTTGTTTTATTTAATTTTTAAGAATATTATTAATAATATAGTATTATTTTTATAATCTATATAATATTTTTAATAACATTATTTGAATACATTATTTAATTGTACAATAGAAAATATAAAGACAATACGTAAGTATCTAGTTTACATATAATTTGTTTGCCAAGGCACACTGCCGATATCTGAAACAAAATAATCTGCCAAATTGTTTCTTGCATTGATTGACTGGTTAGTAGCTCTCGGAGTAGGTTCTGATGTGTCTCATTCGATTTCAATGAATCCTTCTACACTCATTGTTTCTTGAATGTTAAATCCATCTCTGGACCTTACGAAATTGTGCAGAACACAACAAGTTTTTACTAAAAGTATGCATAAATCTAAATTTGCGTTGATTGGTTTATGGAATATTTTCCATTTATTTGATAATATGCCAAATGCACTTTCAACATATCTTCGAGCATGTGACAGTCTGTAGTTGAAAATCCTTTTTTTATCGGACAAAACTTTACCGCTATAAGGTCGCATTATTTTGGGTGAAAGAGAAAATGCCTCATCTCCGATAAACGTGAAGGGCATTTTTGGATTTTCAGTTCCAGGGAGAGGTTGACTTGCTGGGATATTCAGTTGATTATTTTGGAGCTTCATATTAAAAGGACTATTTTCAAATATTGTACTGTCAGATTCTTTTCCAAAAGCTCCTACATCAATATAAATGAATTTGTAATTCGCGTCTACAATTGCTAGCAACACAATTGAAAAGAAATTTTTGTAATTGTAGAATAGTGACCCACTGTTTTTTGGTTTTCTAATTCGTACGTGCTTTCCATCTATTGCGCCTAAGCAATTCGGAAAATGGGTATATTTTTGAAAACCTCGAGCAATATCTTTCCAGCGTTCTTGTGTAAAATCAGGAAAGGTCTCCGCGCGTAAACATTCCCAAATTGCATTGCATACTTTTCTTAAAATCTTACCGATAGTCGTGTGTCCAATTTTGTACGATAAGTCTAAGTCTACCTGATCACATCCACTGCCTAAATACCTGTAACCAAAGAAAAAACATACATTTATAAAAAAATTGAGAACTTCACACCATGGACCAACTATTTAGGGCGGAAATTTGGAAAAGTTGTATTTAGGGTGATACAGTTAAGTTAAATTTTTACCAAAACCTCACCAATGCACCAACTAGATTAAATTTCGTATCGAACAAGATAATGAAGTTGAAAATTGTGACTAACGATTTTCAATTTTTTTTAAGTAAAATAAGAACCGCTCATAAGGAACCTTGTATTAAATTTTCAAGTTTTTTTGGCTATCCAAAATTTTTTTATCGACATTTCAAAAAAAAGTTCTCAGAAAAATCGAAAATTTCAGTGGTCTATAAATAGCTCAAAAAAAATCGAAATATTTTGAAAAGTTAACAGTATATATATATAACACTAATATAAACATTTGGTGAAAATTTCAAGTATTTACAGTGATTAGTTTTTGAGTTACAACCATATAAGAAAATCGATTTGGTCGAAAACTGGTTTTGCGTAAAAATTCGCGTTTTTCCGTCACTTTTCTTTTGTTTTTCTCGATTTTTTTGAAAACTGTTGGAAAATGTTTAATTTTGATCTCTATAATGCACCAAGAATATTCACTTTGTTATCGGAAACCACCCCCGAAGTTTGAAATTGAAGCATTATTCCGACTAGTTATGCTGTACACAGACACAAAAAAAAAAACACACATCATTGTAAAATCATTGTAAAAATAGTATAAAACAATTACTGTATTTTCAGGTACCTCTTGTATAAAAAAATGGCGAAATGTCAAGGACAACTTTAAAAAAAGTTTAAACAAAACAAAATCTGGACAGGCAGCTGGATCAGGAAGAAAATACATTTATGCCCGACAATTATCGTTCTTACAAACTGCAGGTGCTACTACGGAAACACAATCCAGCTTTGGTAACGACGAAATAGAGGAAGAGCTAACCCAGCCAGAGGAACCGGAACAACCTCCTCCCTACAACCAGCGTCCTACGAAAAAACGCAAATCGGATATAGAGACCTCCTTAATTGATTTTATGAACACTCCAATTCCTACTCCAACTGCTCCAGTCATTCAAGAACTTAATCCAGACCGTTCATTTTTCGAAAGTATTCTACTATCTATATCTGATTTTACCGAAGACCAGAAACTAGACTTTCGCTGCGAAGTACTCAATATTATTAAACGTATGAGAAAACCTCCACAGAGTATACCTCAATATCATACATCTGTACCTTTTACTGAAACATCGGCTATATCCAAACAATATGCACCACTCCAAAATGTTCAACAACATCCTTCATATACACGGTTGCCACAAGTTCGCCCTTCTGAAAATATTACATATTCAAGACAATTTGTTCCACCTTCAATCATTTCTCCACCCACCCCGTCCACATACAGTGACGAAAATAGTATGGATTTATTCAGTAATGAAACTTTATAAATAATAACATAAAATAACTTACATAATTAAAATGTTGTATTATTATTTGCACCTGTTAAATTTTAATAAATAATAATCTTTTTGAGTTAAAATTGAATATTTATTACAATCATAGAATTATTATTCAATTGTTTAGGTAATTCATTTTCAAAACAGTAAAATGATATGCTGCATAAAATGCACTTACCTTAAAGTCACAGCTATCATTTCCAATGGAGGTATGCAGAGTCTCATACATGTATCTTGAGACTTAATCATGTCAGTTATTTTGTCTGCAAGTTCATCAAACGATTGAACACTCATACGAAAGTAGTTAATAAACTTATCAGGATTTTCTCGTAAACTTGAAAACAAAGTAATAAAGCCACCTCTAGCTAGTCTATCATCGATGTAAGGATGTACCCAGTAACGTCTCTTTTTTTTTAAAACAAATTTTTTGTATACAATGTACGCGAAAATCGCACGTTTTTTTTGATAGACATCCATCGCCAACAAAAAAATAAATACGACTGATGGCATTGTTACGTACCTTGGTCACCACGTTTGTATACAGCCTCGCAACGGTACCGCACGTTAAAACAACGGACATGTGCATGAGTTTCTGCGGCCACGCAGCGGTGTCGCAGCGGCGCCGCACGTTAATTAACGCAAGTGTGCATCTAGCCTTAA